GTAATTTTTAAATTCTTGATCGGTCTAACAGAAAATAATGTGTTCAAAATAAGTATAATTTATTTAAATATGTACATATATACATACATATATAGACATGTATGTATGCTTAGATATAAGACATATATACATACATAGATATATAGATAGATAAATAGATATATAGATATATTAGCTATATAGACACGTATACATACACATATAGACATGTATGTATGCTTAGATATGAGTAAAATGAATGACAGCAATGGCACATGGATGGGAGGAAATAATTAGGATTATATTGTTATTACAAGGCACTCACACTTTCCATAAAGAAGTATAGGGCTATTAGAAAGTGAACTTGGATTAGCTGTAAATGTATATCACAACCTCTAAGGCAACTACTAAAACAAGTGAAGAAAAGTATAACTGATATGCTAAGAAATGAGAGAAAATTGGAATCATATAAAATGTTCAGTTAAAACCACAAAAGGCAAGAAATCACAAGAATAACTTTCACATATCTTGTTTGTCCTTTTCTCGTTCCTGGCCTTTAAGATGGTACTTCTCTGGGTTGATGCTTTGTACCCTGTCTTGCTCATACCCTTCACTTGGATGCATAGACTCCTGCTCATTCAGAGCTTTCCATGGACTTGCTCCAATCCTTGCTAGATAAGATGAAACACTTAGAATGATGATAGGGTAGGAACGAATCAGTGAGTGAAGGAATACACATGTGAATGTCTTTATGTTACACCTGGGAAAATGATGCATACTTGGTGTTTACAACAGACGGTGGTCAGACGAGGATTCAATCCAGAGACTCCAGTACCCTTTCTCTTTGTCCTAGCTTCCTTTCCTTCCCCCAGCCTCTGGTGGTCTCATAGAACTTCTCTGACCTAGAGACTATGCCTGCTCTACTCTCTTGACTGCCAGAGCCCTCTCTAAGCATGGAGTTTTTTTCCTGCTCACATTGGCTGTGGAATGTAACATATTTCCCAAAGCTTCCCACTTCTTTCTCTATTGGCTGCTATTTTAAAAACCAAGGTAAGAGATTACTTTTGAATAAAGGCTATCTGTAATTATCCGTATGTCTAAAAATACAAGATCAACAGGAAGGAACCACAGGCATGCTTCCTCATCCCTTTAGGAATGGGGTAAAAGTTCTTGAATCTCACAAAGTTCTCATCGTTCTTGTCCCTGGATGGATTTCCTGTCTTGCCTTTTTTGTATTTTCTAGAGTTTCCATTGCAATTTTCTTCTCATATTCTAGAAGAAATGTGTTCATAAGCCTTCTCCCTTCTCTAGGTCGTGCTGAACATTTCTACCGTGACATTTGCTTAGAAGGCAAAATGCTAGCTAAATAACTGGGCATTTTCTTTGTGCCAGTCCATTTTAGAAATAATTCCATATATTCTTTAACAGAGATTATAAGCTTAGTAGAGTAAGACTTGATTTAATGCCAGTCAACTTTAGCTGATTCATTTCTTTTAACTAATATTTTCTTTTCTTTCTCATAAGCCAGCATGGAGGAGAAAAAAAAATGCTTGCATGATTATTTGGCAAGTCAAAGCTGAGCCCAAAGCAGATATTTAAACACCTCTTTAGCCCACTGAGCCTCTGCCTGTTTGGCTAAGGTAATTCTTAGGCTTATAGATTCCCTCCATGCCTTGCTTGCAGCGTAGAGGAGATTTGGTTGTATGAAGGAGTGTGTGGCCATATGACCTTGTGGTTGTTTAGGAAAGGGGTCCATACAGTGCTCTCTAGGCTTTACTGCCTGTGGTAGACAGAATGCCTCCCCAAATATGTCCACGTGCTAATCACTGAATCCTGTGAATATGTTACTATACATGACAAAAGGACTTTGCAGTTGTAATCAACGTTATGCACCACACAGCAGGGACATTATACTGGATTATTTGGGGGAAACTCAATCTAATCACATGGGCACCTAAGTGCAGAGAATTTTATCCAGCTATAATAAAAGAGATGTATTACAGCTGGATAAAATAAGAAGTCAGAGAAATTCAAAGCCTGAGAGAGACTCAACCCCTATTGCTAGAGGGGGACCACATGGAAGGTATGAGAAGAGATGCAGGCAACTTCTAGGAGCAAAGACTGGCCTTGGCTGGCAGCCAGCAAGGAAATGGGAGCCTCGGTCCTAAACCACAAGGAACTGAAATGGGCCAATACCTGAATAAGATTGGAAGTAGATTGATCATTAGAGTCTCCAGGAAGGGAAACAGCCCTGCTGACATGTTGATTTTGACCTTTTGATACCCCAAGCAGAGGTCTTAGCTGCGCCATACTGTATCCAGACCTCTAAAGAACTGCGAAATCATAAGTGGATGTTGTTTTAGACACTGGGTTTATGATAATTTGCTATGGCAGTAGTAGAAATTAGCATGCTGCCTTGCAATAGGATAGTTTGCTTCGTTATCTGCAGGCTACACTACTGTACCAGTTTCCATGTGCCCCCATCCCCCATGGGAGCCCGTGACCATGGCTATTTTCTTTGGGCCATATCAACAATCCTAACCTTCCTTGAAGATATTGAAGGCTCTGCATCAATAGGTAGGAAGTCAGTTCAAGAAAGTACCAAAGAGAAAAAACACTTTATGTTTCAGAAAATGCTGCCCCACTACCCAGATAATTGCTATATGTATATTAGGGGCCATAAAAATGTAGTAGCAGGAGCATTTAAGAAGAAAATGTGTGTGTGTGTGTGTGTGTGTGTGTGTGTGTGTGTGTGTGTGTGTGTGTGTATTTGTGTTGGGACCACAGAGAGTATGCTAAGATGTTAGGGAAAGCTCTCTAATGGAATTGACTTCTAAGATGAGACCTGAAACTTGAGACCTAAAAGCGGAGAGCTGGGGAAGAGAATTCTGAGCAGAAAGAACGGCATGGCAAAGCCTGGAGGGGAGAGTGAGATGTGGCTGAGGACTGGAACAAGCTGGAAATGACTGGGCATTGAGGTCTGTCGGAGCCTTCAGATTTTATCAGAAGAATATGACACCGGTCGAGTGTTTTGTGACGGAAGTGAAGTGATCAGTCATGTGTTTTAGAACAATTACTCTGGTGACAAAAACAGGCTAAAGGAGAGAGAGAGTGAGTGAAATGAGGAAGGGTCATCGTCTTTAGAGGATGTTTAAAGAAGGAGGGTTTGTCTCCAACAGGTGTTATTACAACTGGGAAAAGTTCCATTACCATCATTATAATGGGGCACTCAGGCCCCATCTTCCTACAGGAGAGGTGGCATGGGATGAACTGCTTCAGCTAAAATCTCATGTCAAAACTTGAGTAGCAGAAGGTGTTCATTTTCCTTTTCTCCAAGGAAAAGAGAAGGAAAAGCCGAAGAGACAGAAGAAAAAAAAAAGGAAAAAGAAAACTGATTCTGAATCACCCTTCATCTCCTCACCCCAAAGGGATGCTTTTCATTCTTGTAGGTTCATTTCTTGGCTTATCCAAATGCCTAAACAATTTTATGCTCTTACAGTCATAGTGTATGCAATTTTCTGTATCACTTTGGGAACACGACATGATAACTTGTTCATGTTGCTGTAGCAGCATTGAAAGATCATTTCAAATGCCCACCTAATATTTCCCTGGGTAGATGTTCAATTGTGTTAATAAATTATTCTGTTTCTGCTGGGCATTATGTTCCACTCAGAGTTTTGGCTCTTATTTGTAAGTAATATCTTTAGGCCCCATAGCATGTACTATTTTGGGGGCCATTTCTTTACACTAGATTTCTTCCAGTGTTATTCCTGGGTTGCAAACTAGAAATGCTTCGAGCTCCAGATGCCTACTGCTAAATTGCCTGGAAGAGGCTTACTGCAGAAGCGCCTCTCATTGTCCATCACTGGAGACCACAGGGGAATCAGGAAAATGAATTAACTGTTACTGAGCACTTGCCATCTACCAGGCTTCATGGTCCTTAGTTCACTGCATATTTACAAAAACACCATGAGTTGTTTTATTTATTGAGGTTTTACTTCATGCAGGAAACTTTAAGTGTTTTAAGTTCTTTAGCTCCTGTAATCATCAGAAGAGCTCGGTGAGGAAGATGCTAGTTTTTTCTACAGATTAGGAAAACTGAGGTACCAAGAAGTTAAATAATTTCTCAAATCAAGTGTTTAGAAAATAGCAGGGCTTACGTTTGAATCTGGAGCCAGCTGACTTCATAGTCCTTAATCTTCACCACTACACTGCTAAATAATACACCCTCCCCTGCTGTTTATCATGAGGCTCATATTTGCAGAACAGTCAAGAGATACGAGCAGCAAAAATATCCTAAAACGGAAGAGTGAAGGATGTGGCAAGAGCCCTGAGCACCAGTTACCACTCTTTTGACACGTCATAATTCCTATCTGTGGCCCTAACTGGATTAACAGATGTCAGGGTCACTGTCTGTTGTTTATAAAATATATTCCTGGGAGGTCCGTACATCTGGACTGGGAACAGTTTCAACAGCATCTGCATGAAAGAGGCCTCCCTGTAAACCCTAGCAGACTGTCTTCTGTGAATTAGTGCAGATGACTGGGCACAAGGACATGTATTAGCACTGGAAATCTTCAGCCTGAGAGGCTGGTAGAGAGTCATGCTGAGTCCGTGGAGGAAAAGAAACATGAACATTTTTAGCTTGCGGTGGGAATGGTGTGAAAATGGCAAGTGCACGTAATTACATTGTGACTGGGGTTTGCACTGAATTCAGGCTTTGGAGGATGCAAAGGGTGCTATGTAATCCATCTGCTGCTGTTTAGCTTGCCAGAAAAAAATATGCACAGAAGGCAAGAGAAGGGAAAACCACAGGGACTTGAGATAAATAACCCCCTGTTGCTGTTTTGCCTGATGTCATGACACTCTGGAAAAGACTAAGCTTTTGTCTTAGGAAAACATAATAAGTGTGTAATGATGCAAGCTTATTTACTTATGGATCTGTCTAATTGCTTTGTATGTGTTAAAAGTTTGTCTCTCCAATGCAGTGGAGAGATAAAATCTTCCTTTCTCCTATAATCCAGAGCACTTCAACAAAGAGATTGAACATCCATTGGGTCACTATTGCTGTATGCTGGGGACCTGGGGATAAATACAACAGAGTGATAGGTGGAGTAGTTTGAGTATGACCAGGGATCAGAGGGGCAATTAACCCTTTCTAGGGCAGGAAAGGAAGAAAGATTAAGTAAACTTTCAACAAGGTTACAGAAATAGGCTTTGAAGCCTTCATAGACATTTTCCAGGGAAGTAAGGAGAACACAATGTTTCAGGCAGAAGAAACAGCCTACAGGAAGTCATGACTTGTTTGAAGAATTGCAAGCCCTTTGGGGTGTTAAAGTTTAAAATGTGCAGTCATGATAGTGGGAATCTGGAAAAGATAAGAATAGGAAATGGAAGAGATGTTGGGCTGAGAAGAGGAACAGGACATGATGTGTTTTTGTAGGCGGGGACCATGGTATGACTCTTTAAGAAGCTATTTGACCCCATAGCACCAACCACTCAGTATTGTGACATAGCACTATGACTTGGAAGCATCATGCCTTAGTCCATCAGGTTAAAGCCCAGTGGGACACCTTCTAGACACTTTGCCAATGCTAGGCAAATTATTTTATCTCTTTGAGCCTCATTGTTTTGTTTCTGGGTTTTTTTTTTCCCATCTTTTAGCTAACAGAATTAGTATATATCTTACAGGGTTGTTCTGGTAGGCTAAAAAAAAAATCCAGTGGCATGAAAGTACGCAGTAACATTCCCTGGCACGTAAATATTAATATCTTCTCTGACATTCAGATGATGGTCTGTAAATTTGAACTGAAAATAATTTCATTAGACGATTACAAACAAATTCAAGGTTATCGTGATTATTAATAAATAATGAAAAAATGTCACGGAAGAAGAATGTGTGCTACAGAAGGGAAGGGAATGGATGGCAGAGGAAGACAAGGCAGAAGAGTAGAGGGAAGGAGAGAGAAAGAAACGCTAGACACATTTTTCATGGTAAGTAATATTGATTCAAAACAAAACAGAGCTTTACCTGGACTTTATGCAGAGAAACCTGGCTAATAGAGACTCAGGCAAGCAAGGGTCCTCTGTGAAGCAGCCCTCCTGGATGCCAGAGAACCACTCAGAGCCTCTGTCACAGGTTCCTGTGTTCATTCTTTTTCTCTGGCCCCCTGAGTCAGGGAGCAATAATTCTTTCTAAGCTGGCTCCTGAACGTTAATTTAGATCTATTGAGTTTACAGGGATTACCTTGCTTCCTTTGTAGTAAATAAAGCCATAAACAGCCGGTGAAATGGATAAATGGCTCCAGGCGAGCTGCAGCATTTAATCAATGACAAAAGCTGTTCATCGGGTTCAGTGTAGAAGAGAGGAGCCCAGGGCCAGGACCACAGCCATGGGACAGCATAGACTTCAGCAGCCTGAGAAGCAGCAGGATCTTTGGTCAGTACCAGCTTCTACTTACCCAATATGGATGATGCCTCACGCATTTTCTTTTTACTTTTTGTTTGGCTTGGTATAATTATTTGAATTCCTATATTTGGAAAAAAGATGACATAGAAAACATGAAGGGAAATGCAGAGATAAAATAAAAAAGCCATATTCAACCCCAAAGAAATCACACAGTAGTTTAATTTTTTCATGTTTATATCTTGTCACTGATTGCATATATGTATTATATGTATCATGTTTGCATTTCTTTTTTTTTTTTTGAGATGGCGTCTTTCTCTGTCACCAGGCTGGAGTGCAGTGGCACAATCTCGGCTCACTGCAACCTCCGACTCTCAGGTTCAAGTGATTCTCCTCCCTCAGCCTCCCTAGTAGCTGGAACTATAGGCACTTGCCACCACATCCAGTAAATTTTTTTTGTATTTTTAGTAGAATGGGGTTTCACCATGTTGGCCAGGCTGGTCTCGAACTCCTGACCTCAAGAGAGCTGCCCACCCTGGCCTCCTAAAGTGCTGCAATTACAGGCGTGAGCCACTGTGCCCAGACCATGTTCGTATTTTAATTTTGCTCCCTAACAACCCATTCTCCTCAGGTCATCAGAAAGATTGCCTTGACATATAAATGTGATCACACTGTGCACTGCTTACATCCTGCAGGAGTTTGTTCAGGGTCTTCAAGACATAGTCTCAAATCCTTAGGAGACCCCTGCCTTGCTCGGTCCAGCCCTCCTCATCTCTCTTCCTCTTCTGGCAATCTCCAACTTACTAGATTCCTTCCACTTCCTGTTCTCAATCACCCCCTGAGTTTTCTCTTCACACTTGACCTTAGTCCAGCTTTATCCTCTTTCTCAAACATGCTTCACCTATTCATCGCTTGAAGAACACGTTCTACCTGTGTCAAAGTACTATTCCTTGCTCCAATATAAACTAGATTCTTCTCATCAGATCATATCTGAATACTTTATACTTTTCTACTTCTGCTTCATTGAACTGATTACAGCCTGGGGATTTTTGTTTCATGACCTTCTTGCCTGTAGAATGTAACTTGCTCGTAGACTGTAAGTTTCTTGAAGGTGGAGAAATCTATATATTCACCTCTGTATATGCAGTTCCTGGTTGAGTGCTTACATCATTCTTGAATATTTGCTGATGACTGAATTTAAAGATAAGTTTTTACATTCTGCCCTTTTCAGTTAACATTACATCATAAACAATGATGTCTTTGATTAGTTGCTGACTATTCCATCAAATAGATATCTTATTTTACTTTATCATCCCCTTGTAGTTGGATAATTGAGTGTAGTCCAGTGTTTTTTGTGCTTATAAACAATGCTTATCTTTCCTTGGCTGATACATTTAAAAATTATTTCCAGGAAAATGAGTTAAGTTCAATGAAGTTTTTTTTCTCTAACAGACACCGTTATTAAAGTACTTGTCACAGATCGTACTGAGAATTCCTACCCAGAGGACATACAAGTGAGGTGTGAGTGGGGACTTAAATTTGGGAAAATGGCAGGAGGGGACACCAGGTAGAATAACTCTCTCAACCCAACAAACTCAAACTCTGAATGAATGGTGAAAGCCACTATAGATATAACATAAAGAAAAGGCTTTGGCTGTGTTCCAACAAAAGTTTATTTACTGAAACAGAGGCAGGATGGGCATAGCCCTAAGGACATAGTTTGCCAATTTCTCTTCAATGGAATGAAATTACATGCTATTTGTAAGATTCGATGCCTAGTACATAGACTGAAACTAATAAAATAATAGCTATCATTGAGATGATGATGATGATCATCATGATTGGCATCTGCCAGTCTATTGAACTTGGCTACCTGCCATTATCCTGAAGAGTTTGGGATACTGACTTCTGTAATAAACTCTGGTGAGTCTTCCTGCTGGCAGTTTTGCAGAGATTAATACATCTCTCAATGAGACTAACTTCCCTTTCTTTGGGTATATTCCACTATTATGCAAGAATTCCTAGAGTCCTTTGCAATTTTCAGCCCATCCAATTGGACACATTAGTTTAACGCATATAATTACTTCTCATTGGAGTCACAGTTGATATGCCACAGTGCTATTAGAGTCATCATCAATAATCACTCTAGCTCAATACCATCTCCTGCTTAAGCCTTCTGATCAGTTGAGATTTGCCCACATATTAGATAACACCCAACAAATGAGGTCTGTGCCTTAGCACTCAGCTTGTGAGGACTGCTATATTTTCCATGTGCTACAGTGGAAAAGTGTTGGCCACATAAACCAGGCGTTGCAACTCTCAGCACCATGTAGGAGCAGGTGGGTTGATGCCCACCTCTGTATCCTTATGGTTCTGGAAGCAGAGAATAACTTGGGCTAATGGGAGAGGAAAAGATCACAGTTATACTTAACTATGTATTTAACTCAGCACACTCCATAAGGCATATTAAGGGTCATCTGGGGGTAATTTTTAATCCTCCTCTGAAGCACCAGGATATTCAGCATTATTCTGGCTCAGAAAATTTGATGCCAAAGAAAAGGAGCCCTGGCTCCATCAGCTGTATCTTATGCTCAGCAACTTCCTCGCACGGGGGCTAAGAAGGTGGCTCCTCACCATTTTCCTTTATTCCAGCTCTGCCATCTCTTACTTTTCTTTTTTCCAGCTCTTATTTATTTTTTATTTATTTGTTTCTTTTTTACGCTACTCACAAAAAATTGGTTCGAGAGTCCTGTGGTTTGGTTAACCAGTGATAGGCCTTTATTTAAAAAAAATTGTATTACATGTTTTTAAGGTATGCTACATAATGTTTTGATTTACTTATACACAGTGAAATGATTACTACAGTCAGACAAACGTATTCTTTGCCTTCCATTGCTACCTTTTAAATTTTTGTGCTAAGGGAACATAAAAACTGCTCTTTTAGCAGATTTTCAGTGTGCAATATTATTAATTATAATTCTCTGGCTGTACATTGGCTCTCTAAGCATATGCATCCAACTGAACTGCACATGCGTACACTTTGGCCAATTTTCCCCATTCCGCCTTCTCCCTGCCACTGGTGACCACTGTTCTACTCTCTGTTCCTATTTGACTTTTCTTTTTTCTTTTTTTTTCCAATTTGGTGTATAAGTGAGATCTCACAGTGCTTTTCTTTCTGTGTCTGGGTTATTTCACTTAGCTTAATACCTTCTGAGTTCATCTGTGTTGTCAAAAATGGTAGTATCTCCTCTTTTTTAAGGCTGAATAATATTCCTGTGTGTGTGTGTGTGTGTCACAATTCTTTTTTGTCTTTATCTGTTGACAGATACATAAGTTGTTTCCATATTTTGGTTATTGTGAATCATGCTACAAGGAGTTTGGGAGTGCAGATATCTCTGTATAGATGTAGCTCATTTCAATTCTTTTAGACCCAGAAGTGGAATTTCCTGGATCATAATGATGGTTCTATTTTTAATGTTTTGAGGTACCTCTATCCTCTTTTCCATAGCGAATCCATTCTTTATATGATTTTTTTTTTTTTTTGAGACAGGGTTTCACTCCAGTCATTTAGGCTAGAGTGCATTGGCATAATCACAGCTCCCTGCAGCCTGTAGCTCCTGGGCTCAAGCGATTCTTCTGCTTCAGTCTGCTAAGTAGCTGGGACTATGAGTGCATGTCACTAGGCCTGGCTAACTTTTTAATTTTTTGTAAAGACAGAGTCTCCCTATGTTGCCCAGGCTGGTCTTAAACTCCTGGGGTCAAGTGGTCCTCCTGCCTCAGCCTCCCAAAGTGTTGTGAGTACAGGCATGAATCATCATGACTGAGAAAGTTTATTATATAAATAATTCTAATAAGTTAAAATATTGCAGAAATGTAAATTGATTAATGCATCAAGTAACATGTTATTACATAAGTTTCTGGTTTGATCGATCACCTTTGAATTCTTAAGTCAGCAGTAAGGCGGAGGAAGGCAGAAATTAATATATGGTACCAAGCACCAGCCTTAACTTAGTGTCTGGCATTTAATTATTGGTTAAACGACTAAGTAAATGGGACCCTACCAAGTACAAGTTCAAATCTGCCTGGTCTTAAAGTAAATTGTGATTGAAACAGGAAAGACCTTCATATTGCCTGTGAGGCACTGATCATATGGCAGGTGCTGTTCTGAACGTATTAACTTACTTTGCCATAGCTCATTTCCTTTCACAAGTTTATTTCTATCATTCTAATTTTACAAATAGGAAAACCGAGACTCCGGAATGCTAAATAACTTCTCAAGGATGCACTATGGGAAATCAGCAGCTGAGTTAAATTTAGAGGCAGAACTGCCTAACCCCGGACCTGTGGTCTTAGCCACTGTGTGGCAGTGCCATCCTGCTGGCTGGGGGCATGGAGACTTTACTGTCCATGGGCCTGGTGGCCAACTGCCCTGAGGGCATCTGAATACCTTTTCCGATCCCTGCCATGTGGCCTGGTTTCTGACTTGAGGGCTTGAGTTTCTCTGGTCCTCTACTGCATTTGAAATCTTCACTATGCATTCAGTTAGTTGTCTAGGTCTTGAAAATTCTGCATTTTGCCTGCTGGTCTTGTCTTTCTGATCCCAGGTTTTGCTCCTTGCACCAACTACCCCTGCAGGTCAGCTACAAAGAGATTGGTCAGCCAGAGTTCATGGGCTTGGGAAGGAGACCCCCTCCTCCATCTGTTTCTCTCTTCTGCCCACTTAATCTGTTACCCCTTTCTCTCTCTCAGGGCCATTGTTAAGCCTGAGCCTTGTACACCTTGCTGGTTACTCTATTCTGGACTACTGTCCAACCAACATAGAGAATATCTCTATAGGAAACTTGATTTCCTTTATTGGTAATCTCCAATTGCATTCTTCTCCTTCTCTCTCCCAGTTCCAACAAATTCCACAGCTTCAATGGTCAGAATCATGAAACATATTTTTGTATTTGTTAAAAACACATATCCTGCTAGGGCAGAAAACACTCTTGGAGTTGCTTTGTAGCAGACCACTTACTCTCTCTGAGCCTAAT